TTTTTTTTTTTTTTTTTTTTTTTAAACTTGCATCCTTTTTTTTACCAATAAGAAGATTGAGGCCGGGGTCCTCACAGTCTGCCCGGAGAAACCGAACCAAACTTGCTGAGAACCGGGCTCAGCGTCCCTCATGATGATGATGATGATGATGATGATGATGATAGTAATGATGATGACACTAATGATAATGCTGGTTAGTGTATATGAAACAAATAAGACTATGCTATATCAGCAATTCTGACCTCCTAATCCTAGAACAACTCCTAGCCCTCCCTGTTCAACTACAGTAAACTGTACTTATACAGTAAGAAGGGGAAAGAACGGGACAAGGTTTGGTTTCTACTTCTGCAATTTTCTACCCAGTGTTGGCAGCGCATGGGTCCTCCCTATAACAGTAATTAACAAAACCCACTCAAGTGGGGAGAGCACCAATTCAAAGAGAGAAAACAAAATTACAGGAGGATGAAAGACCAGCAAAAAGTCAGATTAGACACCTACTCTTCCGCCCTCACCACGTGGCCTGGACGAAACGACATGCCCTAGGAGCAACCAACAAACCATAGTGACGTATGCAACAGCACCTCTCCCCCCCCCACCCCCAGCCCACCACATGGCAGATACTTGTGATCATTGTGATTGGTGTGCCCATCAAAATTCGTAATGGGCAAACGTCGATCGAAACAAGACAGGCGAAGATATGACAATATTACCTGTCGACAAAAAACAACTGGAAGTCCTATCCCTACCCCACTCCTTCTCGCCACCACATTGTGCCTTTCCACACCCCCCATTCAATAAGCCGCGGCCAGAACAGTGAAGAGAAGGGGGCAAGAGGAGAAAAGAGCCGTCGCCCGTCCCCCGGCGCACTCACCGCGTTATTGTTGATGTCGATTTTGCCAGTCGCCCTGTCGATGATTCGGTCATTGCTGTTATTGTCGTAATTGCTGTTATTATTGTTGTTGCCGTCGTCAGTATTGTTGTTGTTGTTGTAGCTGATGGTACCGCCGATCTCGCCAGTGTCAAAATCACCGTTACCAAAACTGGCGGCCTCTGCGATACCATTGTTGTTGTTGTTGACGTTGTTGCTGTTGTTGTTGTCATCGTTATTGTTGTTGTTGTTGCTATTGTTGTTGTTGCTGC